GCGTGACCCGAGAGCAAACAAATCACAGTGTGGGAGTCGCTGGCATTGGGCGGAAGAGCGCGAACCGGGGACACGTGTGTTAGCAACACGCGGATTTTACGCGCAGGAACTGGCTAGCAAATGCCAAAGGATTACAGTGCTAGCAAAGACACTGCTAAATCCGAATCGCGATACAACTGTTTGGAATGCTTCTCGGATAAAATATTTCTCGTTCGATGGATGGTATTAACTGTAAATCGTTGTTTGAAAATCATTCTTCAATTTGAACGCGGTTAAATATCGAAAGACATCCACCGTGAGGAAGCAAAATCTCTCCCTATGGGTGGAGAAGCATGATGCACGCGTGTGTGGAACACGCGAACAACGTTCCGCTAGTCGATGCTGAAATGTCAGCCAGCTCTGTGAATCAGATTCTGTAGTAAGAGAGTTCGTCCCATTCACACAGAGCGTCGTCGTTGGGGCAACGATGACATCGGTAGCAGAAGGCATAAGCCTCAGCACTCCGCTCTCGACAGATCAGATAAGTCGAGCGAAGTCGCGGACGTATAAATCTTCGCTCGTCGAGGACGGTAGCCTTGTCGATAGGAAGCGTTTCAAGGAATCCACGGTATCGGAGCGAGACCTACACGGCGTAGCCGATCCAATGAAACTTTGCAGAGAAATCGGTTCTGCGTCGATCTTGATAATAATTCCAATCTTGATGCAACAACCAGTTGAGGTCAGTTGGAAAATCTTGCAAAGAAGATTAAGTAGAACTCTGAAAATTCTAATATCGCGCAACAACCAAGATGGTGATTCGTCAAATCGCCAAGCATAATTTCATCTCTGTCGGTGAATTTTTTGAGAGGCCGAGGTAAGGATCAAAGGAGAAACGATCGTGGGTAGAGGAGCACGATGCACGGGGCGCGTGCAGCATAGTACCTGACACACGATCGCCGCGCCGGCCTCTTCCACATTTATCAACGGGCGAAATGTCAAGGGATCCTATGAATCGAACCTAGCGAACGAAGATCATCCCATTCACATGGATGGAGAGCCGGTGACATCCTCGTCGGCACGAAAATGTCAGACGATTACTTTCATTCACTGAAAATTCGCCTGGCAACAAATAATGTAATCTCGCAATGGTCCGAAATGAAAACGCGATATTGATAGATACTTCGTTCTCGAGACAAGCTTCTTATCGAATGTGGGAACCGTGGACTCGAAAGGAAATCAATGGTCTTCGACAAAGGCTACAAATTAGTGGCAAATGTCGTCAAGGAAAGTGGAACACCGGCGAGCCCGTTTCGATCTTTCCCAACGGAGAATAAAAAAACAATAAAAGGAAAAACACCGATTCTATTGGTTTAACGAGCTTCGTTAAAGAGTCTCGAACGAAGCGCGGGAGTAACGTGGAGATAAATCGAGGACCGCGAAACGGGTGACGAAAAACGTGTACGACTTACATAAACCGACCACGCCCTGCCCGTATGTTCGGTCTACACGTTACCTAGACAAACACACATACATTTACAGTTAAACGTGGCCTCTGTACGTACGTGTGTACGTTTCTATGCCTCTCCGTGCTCCTCTCGAAACGTGTCGATAGCTAGCTCGATCTATGGTACCGTGCCCTCTCCTATCGATACACCATGGCTGGCGTTACCTTACGTGGGTGTTCGTAGGGCACCGGAACGAAAGTCTACCGGCAGCTTGCTAAATCCTCGAAACGCTTCGAGAGATTCTATCTCGAGCAATCCAGTCGTACAGGCGACCTGGTATTTCCATCGGGACCGTTCTTGCCCATTACACGACCACCTCCATTTCCCGCGATTTTCTTCGACCCTCCGCTGGGATTCCTCTGTAATTAAGTCTCGATTCTTTGTTCTCCTTTCTTTGAACAACGAGGAACGCTCGTTATTTGTTAGAAGAATCGACAGGTACTTCTCGAAATTCGACGACGGAGGTATCAATCGAGTTGCGATTGCGAAAGTGAAATTAAGTGAGCGCTTTGCTCGTCAGAAGGTCGGCTGGTGGCTAAGCGAAGCCTCCCTTCTCGATCGGCGACGCGATTACGGAAGATTTCCGATCGACAGACCGTGAAAAGTAGTACGTTCCGCGAAATCTGTTTTCCTTCTCGAACGACCGGGATCGTTAGTTACCGGAGGTAGATAGGCTCGCGTAACGCGAATCTTCTACGAATTATTTCATCGGCTATCTTGTTTTTCTTCGGACGATCGGATGCACGAACTAGTTCTCTCTCGCTTCGATTATTATTACCATTATCTCTTTGATCAGCTATTAATGAATCATCGAAGGCTACGTCATCTCGTCGTTATTGCGGTTAACGTCGATCGATTACAATTATGAGATATCGATGCTCTTTTTGCGATTGACCGATGTAACGTGTAGATATACCTTACGCTGAAAGTTTTGAGAACGCGCTCGTTTTACGCCCGGTTCACACGTTCTACCGAATCTCACGAGTAATAACAAAGCGTTGTACGATCGAAAGAGCTTCAACCCCTGAGTATCCGGCAGGCATTCCTAAGCGATATTAATTTTAGCGATTAACGCGAATGATCCGTGGGTCAGAGTGATTGCACGCTTGAGATTCCAAGGCACCGCTACTCATCCTTCGAGCAGCGGTAAGAATCCAAGTAGGTATCTATCGTTCCGCAACGGCTCCTCCAACATCGTTTACTCGCTTCTTCGCCCTCGACCTCTCGCTGAACCTGAATCCTCCCGATCACTCGCCACGCCTTTTCGAGCGGCTGCAAAATTACCGCCGGTGTTCGCATAACTGTATCAAGTCAAACCTAGACAGAGATGCTCCCTTAGCCCCGCAACGGCTACCGTTACCGCACGGATGAGTTTCGTCCTCCCATCGCGTGCACGAACAGCCACGCCGCAGCTGGACGCTTGCGGTTCTTCGAGGATGCTTTCGCGCCCGTTACACCTGGAACAACGGTGATGTTGGCGCGTTTTCGCCTCGCCCAGACCGACAATGCACGCCTCGATGGATCGTTCGGAGAAATTGGACGGCGACCTTCATGCGCGCGCGACCCTGTCGATCGATCCTATTGTTCCGGATTCGGCACCGTTAACTCGGATCTTTTATCATTGTTCAAGCTTGTCTCCAACTGTTCTTGACATTTGCACGAAGGATGACGCCGTTGTTGTTCTGACTGTTGCAAGGGTCGTTCGAACCCTTCCGGTTTATTCAGCAACGACCCACTCGGACAACGAGATGCCGAGGTTATTGTAATGCGAACAGGAGTCTGACGTAAGTTTCCAGCTTGGTTTCACCATGATTCCTCTCTTCTATTGAATCAAACGTTTGAACAGTCTCTTGACCGGTAATCCTGGCGCCACTATGAGGCTAAGAGTCGTACAGCTTTGCGATTAACGCGTGAAAATGGGCGAAAGAATTGCTACTTGGTTAACGTGGGTGGAGGAGCTGAAAGTTTTGAGAACTGACAAAACGATGCTCTCTGTCTTTTAACAATTGCCTCGACAGTTAAATCTGAAACCGCATCTTACATAACGGCGCTTCCGGCGCGGTTTGGCGCGGCGCGTGAGGAACGGACATAAATCGTCGAGGCTACCGGTTGGTTCCATCGGTTGTGCGATCGGTGGCGCACGAAATGAAAAAAAACGCGGCAATTTGTGAGAAGGAGGCGATAATTAAGGTCTAGCTCGGAGCGAGGGCACTGGCTATTTCTAACGGTTGTGTGTACGCCGAGCGCACTACTCGTTGCTTTCTAATTATAACAGTGCAACGTAATTACACAAGTGGCGCATAAAACGAACAATAACGAAGCGTGCATACGTACGATATAAATTTCTGATGGGCGGGAGGATAGTTTGTCCGTGGTCTGGACCCTGTGGCTCAATCGCAGACGATCGCTCAAATTCTATTGGTGAGCAGAGAGAAAGAGTAACAGTAACGGTGGTAGTAAAACGCGTTACGATAAATCACTGGTAATTAATAAATCCTACCGTTTCCTTCTGTGCCTGGAGATATTTCTTGATAATCGAGCAACATGCTCGTAAACGAAGAAACTGAGAGCAAAACGTGATGACAGATGCAATTTGAGTGGATTATGAAAAGTGTTTCGTTAAAGTTCTTCTTTTGCAATTGTTTCGCTAAATGAAATTTGTAACGCTGATCACCAGTGACCACCGTGGAAGGTTAATTAATCCGTGCATCCTCGATAATTCATACGGAAATAGATTTCGTTACACAGGATCATTTTCAACGTATTAATAAATTTTCCTGGATAGTTATATCCCATACAATAACATAGGAATCGTGTCTCTCCTTTCTTCGCCTCCTCCACCTTGACGATCCCATACAGGATTCTCCTGTTCGCGTCTCTTCTGCATCTCTATCCTCATCCGTGTCTCTTCCCCCCATCCGTGTTCGTTCTTGTAGCCGTCTTTTTCGTGTCATCCAACCGCTCGCCGCAATATTTCTTCCTCTCGTTCCACCAGCCGTATTGAGAGATTAAACGCTATCTGTACCGGGGCGGTATTTCTGTTCGAACAGGATACACACGGAAATACCGGCATTTTTCTCCGACCGTTCGTTCTCCGCTTGGACCACCGCGAACGGCGCGATACTCGCAGCCAAGTTTCTTCGTCGTCCTTTTAATCGGCTCTGGTCAGCGTTATCGAGAGTCTTTCCTTTTTTCGACTGATCGACGCTCGTATTAGTAGAAAGTCGGATCGTCTGGGTTGCCTCGTAATTCCGTAGCGCAGGAAGTGAAATACGAACGTTGCTAATCAGGCCGGCCTGCCCCCTCGTTCAGTGCATCTCTCCCTCCCGTGGGTGGGATTTAACGTGTTCGCATTTTCGACCGATTTTACTTCACCCTTCACCGTATACCACTAGTTACGACATCCTCTGCGCAACGGAAACGAAATAGCGGTCGGTGCATTAGGTTCTGAAGAAAAAAAAAAAAAAAAAAAAAAAGAAAGAAATGATTTATCGAAGCAAACGGCCAAGTGGACGAGGGGGTCCCTAAACGCGTGTATCGCCCAGGTGGTCTAGGCGCAAATAGGAAACCCGTCCTGTGCCCCGATGAAGCCTTGTAGCTTTGCAACGCTATCGCAGAATTTCCTACCGACGAGCAGCAGCGCACGGACACTCTCCCGCGAATCGGCCACGTTCTCGCAGATCTCTCTGGCGGGAGAGAAGGAGAGACCAGGTGAGAGTGTGTTGGTCGGGCGTGGTCGCGGTGGCCATGGAATGCGCTCACTTTCACCGTGAACGTGGCCAGACGAGGATCGAGGAGAACACGCGGCGAGAGAAAGAGAGCTGCTGCTGCTCTTGCACGCACACGAAACACGCCTCTACGCTCGGACCGAGTGCAACGTGCTGCAGACTGCACTCGCTGCTGCAACGCACCGTTTCGTTTCCCTTTGTTCCTTCTCAAAGATATACCAATTCTTCGAATCTTCCTCTTTTAATAATTTTCTAACGATAACGAAGGAGTTGTAGGAAGAGGGGTTGAAAATATGAAGGGGTGAGTTTTAGTTTGATCCTGTTGACTGAAACGATGCGATCGCTGTAAGATTCGTTTACTTTGCTCAAAAGCAGCTTCCTCTCGTCAAAGAATCGGTAATGTGCTACACGATCAATCATTAAAATCATCTGGAAAGGAGCGTAGATGATTCTGTGAAAAAAAGGGATCGATTTCTAAAGTCGGTAGAGTCCATGGAGCAGCAGCCGCGTTAGAAAGCAACGTCAACCTACATGCGATCGGAGGAAGGGTATTTCTTTTCATCAACGATTCGCTCGCCAAGACACGGACGATAGTCGATTAACGGGATGAATTATAGGCAATTGAAAGCGAGTGAATAGCTAACAGGTAGCCGGTACTTCCGTTCACCGAACTGCCGCCACTGAGACTTCTTCCTCGTTGAAACACAGCTTGGTCAGGTGCGGGTAGCTAAACCACGGTAACAGGAGCCCCGAAACGAATTCGTGAACATTTTATATAATCCTCTTAGCAACGCGACACTTGATAAATAACCTCGATTACATTCTGGGTTATCTTTATTTTCACCGGACCCAGTGAATCCAATTACCAAAAGTCTGATCATGGAACCCTAGGAGATAGGATAAGAATTTAATTACCTGCAATTGAATCAAATTAGATCAGAATGATGAAACTATCGAACGATTACGATTTTTCCTTCGAAGAGATTTGGTTTACGGCGAAGGAAAGAGAAAAGAAGGGAACGTAATTTGCTGTCGTTGAAACGGATATCGGTGCCCTCGACGACAGGGAGTTCTTCCTGTCGACCATTGGCAGAATTCTTAATTAGCGGGCTCGCTTGACGCACGCTCGCAGCATTTGCGTTTCGAGGTTACGTAAAGAGGTTGAAACACGAGATAGGGCTTGAAACATCGTTACTCTCGAGGACAGTGAATTGCCATAAAGGAGAAAAGGAACGCGAAGAAGAAGAAGCAGCAGCAACAAACAAGAGCCTGCTTAAGAGGGATTATTATTGGGCGTGCCCCAGTTTTACAGGACCGATATAAAAAACGTTTCACGAACGCTTCTTAAAAACTTCAGCACGGATTAACGAGTTCTCGCCAATAAATATTCTTTTTGTCTTTCGTTTCTTGCGCAACACACCTTGCCAACACTTAAGGTTATGAAGCTTAAAGCTACGAAGTTGTAAAATCGAAAGCTTATGGGTAATGAGGCGATTAAAAAACGACGTTCTATCACACGTTCCTTATGGTGTGTCGTGTATTCTCGCAGTTGCGTAGCAGCCTGAAAACCCGTAGAAAAACATAGAATCAGTTTTTTTTTCTCCATCGGTTCGTCACCGGTACACGTACGTTTTATATATCGGATGCACGATTAACCAATTGGCATTTTGCTGGAATAATTATATGTTATACCGGCGTACTTTTCACCCGCGGCCGTTCAACCGTGAACACAGATAGCGGCTCTCTTCGCCGTTAAAGTGCACCGGGTGGCGAGGCAGAAAAAAAGGGGACACGTTGCAACGAGACGTTGCACCACGCCGGTTCGCTGCAATTAGATCGCCACGGCATGCCGCGCCACGCTGTTGAACCGTCGTCGCCACGCTACATAGATCTCGATTTTTCGGCTCGGTCCTGCCGCGATTTTGCCTTATTACCGGTTCGCTCGATAGCAGCCGCCGCGTTTTACGATCCTTCTCGCTCGTTTCCTGTTACGCGCGATACCTGTCCAGCCCCTTTCAACGCTGCGCAAGCGTCACTCAACTGGAATTGATACCAGTCTCGAGCGATTCCGACTGTTCTATTCTTCAAAGTTAAAATCATGATTAATCTTTCGATCACCGGATGGCTAAGAAAACGAGAATCGAAATTTTACGTCTATCGGAAGGAAAAAGCAAACGATACGAATCCGTTTGAAAAGAAACTCGGTGTAGCTAACCTATGGACATTCTTGTAAAGGTGTTCCACCGGACGAAGGAGGCAGAATGGACGGGGATACAACGATAGAGATAAAGAAGCCGGAGGAGGAAGGTGTAAGAATGGGACCCTGGGTGACAAAGTAACGCGAACTCGCGAGGGAAGAGCGAGGTGAACGACAATGGGCGGCTGATTTGTGAACTGCCAGCTCGGATATCGTCGTTCCGCGGACGCGGCCCACGGCTTCATCGAACCTCCATAAATTTCTATGGTTCAACATGGGAGGCTCTCTTTCCGGGTCCGTGGATCGGTAACCGCAGCTGCGCAAACCGTGTCCTTCCTCAACATTCCTCGTTCACTCGCTATTCCAACCTCCTCAGGCCGATTCTTGTCGATGTTTTACTATGCTAATGAGCCTTTAATCCTCTCATTAGCTCTAAATTACTTCTTCTTCCTTCTGAATCGTTAGAGAGCAATTGTCATCTAAATTGTAGGAAGTCTAGAATCTAGTTTTCCATTTTAACTGTTCGTAATCGTTTGATCGGTGGAATTTTCAAGAAGCGTGAAAATTCGGCTCCGATCAATATCGCGGGCGACCGCAAATCATTGGATTGCGCAAATGGCTGGAACCGCAATGCAATAAACGAGGTGGAGAGCGGTCCACGGGTTCGTAACGAGAAAACGACGAGGAGATAATGCGAATCGACGTGCCGGCTCGAGAACACGATTGTTTTGATCGAGCACAGAGTGAACGATCCTCGTTCTTCTCCCGGTGAATCGTTTGCGCCGAAACTGGTTTCGCGACTCGTACAAACGATCCGGTTGTCAGTCGTCCGATCTTTGTCAAATTCAATTACAACGCTACACGAAAGCTCGAGCATTACTGTTGAAGATGGTTCCCGAAACGAGCTTTTTCCATCTTTTCGTTTCGAGCAATCAATTTCGTTTGTCAGCTCAACGAAAAATTCAACATAATTCCTGAAATGTAGAGAAATAAAGACTGATGACGATGCTTGATCCCGTCACACGCGTGAATAAACATACGAATAAACGAGCTGATGGGGCCATCAAATTAAGGATCGAACGAGGGTACCAGGTCGCGTGAGGATCGAGCGAAAAATTTCGAAAGGGGTCACGAGTCAAGAACGAAGAAGAACGCGAATGTGCGTTTAATCGAGGCGAACCGTCGAGAGCCGACCGATGACCCGGGTCGTTATTTCGCAAAGTGCAATAAGTCTTCTCTTAATTTCACCGGTCGGCAAGGATGGGCGTGAAACGCAGTAATTGCTCTTCACCGAGGTGGGTCGAACGTTGCGAACACGGCTTAATAATCGTCGAAAAGAGAAGGGTAGAAGAAAAGACGATCGCTACGTTTCAGGCTCGTCCAAGACGTTGATTCATATTCAATAAACCTTGTATCGAACACGAATCGATTCGTCCAAACGTGTTGTTTCGCAATCGGGCTTTCAAATTTTGCCAGATGGGTCGCAGAGATTCGAAGGCCACGCGAGATGCTTCTTTTTGGGAGTGGTCCATGATTCTTCAGAAATATTCACAGAAAAGCGTTTCTTCTTGCATATTATCAGAAGAGATCGGACGATAAAAATAATAATCTCTTTACTTTAAAGTTTAAAGATCCTCGTAAAGAGGGGTGATCAATGCTATCGTCAATCGAACCCTGTAATTACATACGAACCAGACGATGAATGAATTATTATCATTTACGCAATACAGTTTATTTTTGTGGCAGCCAGTCACTTTCTCCGTGATTATACAAAAACGTGTTCATAAACATTTCACCTGATTCATGGTAGAAAAAATGATGATATCTGATAAAGGAGAAATCCTGTTATTCATCGTGTAATGAGAAAATCCAATTTTCCAAGGGAATAGAAAGAAAATAGAAATCAATGCAGTTTGATCAGAAATACGAGAGGAGAACAAAGGAGAAGGCGCGCGTATTGCACACTGCATTCCTCTTTGCGCTCTTATCTCTTCCTAGCAGGATTATTACAGCCGGTGGACGGTGGTGTTTGCTAGAACGTAGTCTGCTTGCGTCTCTCGCAATGGTAACGGTACTTCATCCACTGGTGCAAGTGGTCAGCCAGATCATCGACTGGTCGATCGTTTCGAGCGCATCGATTGCATAAACTGCGAGAGGAAACCGCGAAGGCGTTTCTTATGGAAAAACTCGTCGGAAAATGAATATGTAGCAAGACTGAATCTCGTCTCTGCTCGCGACAGGCATCAATTATCGAAATTCCAAAATGTAGAAAACTTGAACGGTGCTCAATTTTCGGTCTTTAATTTTCTTTCAAATCACAAGCAATCTATTTCGAAACGAAAAACGAAACTCCATTTCTGTCGCACAAGTTGTTCCTGCATTACTGTGACAGTCCACGCTCGCCTGTTACCGTCTTCCGCGCCGCGAAACCGCGCTCTCTCGTTGCCTTCGTACGTAAGAATGTCGCTTAAAGTGTGTACGCCTAGACCGGTCGCGCGACTAATATGGGAGTGTGCGGCTGGCTGAAGCCTCAACTGGATCACAGATCCAGCTTGCCGATCGAATCGCTTCCCTAGGCGTTAAGCTCCGTTCACAACGCAAGAATCGGTGAACACAAGCCGTACGAAAAGTGATCAAAGTCACCGCCACCATTTCAGAAGATTTGATAAAGTTTCAAATTTCTGTCGGAGATTCATTTCATCTTTCGATCTTTACTGCAAGAATACGCGAAATGCATCGACTAATACAATAGTGACAAGAGCAGAAGAGACATTCCCAGAAAACCTCGTCACGGAGGTCTGACATTCTACGACATTAGATAATTGCATCCAAGCTCCTCCTTCTTCCTTGCTTCTCTCTCGGTCCCTCTGCACTCTTGTACAGCAATTTCGCCGAGAAAAAGAAGCCCCGTTCCGAGAAGAACGCAGAGACACGATCGTCTTCCTCTTCCTCTTCGAGCCAACTCCGTGGACCAGCTTTGCTATCCACGGATCAATGAAACCATACAAGTGGTTGTGGTGAAACCGCATGAAAGAATTATCAAATAGAAATAGCTACGACGTGTGCAACAATGTTACCAAGGGAATACCTCTGAAAGAGAAAAATAGAAACGAAGAAGGCGATGTGTACACCGCAAAGTGTAAACGAATACCGGAATGCTTGCAACAAGTTCCAAGTCTTGGATGATCTTAATTAAGAAGTGTTAATTGAATTTTATCTACTCTATGTATTTGCGGTTTAGAATTCCACGTGGTCTCATCTTGCCATTATATCTATAAAAATGATTGCAACTTTATTGCAAGGAAACATTCCACAGCCGGTTTGTAGCTTTCGAGATTTTCCGTGGATCTAGGTGGATCCGGTCGCGGTCGTCTCGAAGAGCAGAAGAACCGATTCCAAGAACAGAATCGCTACCGAACGCTCGTTGCAATTTCCTCTTCCCTGATCGCGATGGACGAATTACAGTTGCACGCGTTACGAGCATCATTACGCTTGTTTTATTATCTCGCTAACTTTACGATCATTCTGACCTTTCCTTTATTGCACCGTCAATTTTGATCTCTATACTGTGACAAACAAGCAATTTCCACGGTTGCCTTTTGATTTGTCGTCGTGTTGGCTGTAAAAATTCTGGTTCTGTAATAAATACAAACAGGAACATGACCGTTGATTGAATTATTTTTGCAACTATGCGGCTGGTAGCCGCACAAAGAGGTAGCCGTTCTATCTTCGAGTCATTCATCGCGGCAGAAAAAGTTATGCAACGCTTCCGTGTGCCAAGAAACCGGAAGCGAATCGATCCTGTCTACCTGGCGAAAAATCCGGATATCGATCACTAGATGAAAACCGTCGAAAGCCAATACGAGAGTACGCGAAACCGCAACGCGTATCTTCCGTGGCCGCACCATTCCAAACACCGGAAGTTGCCCGTTGATGGATTCCCTGGTAATTCGACGCTCACCGAAAAACCGAATCAGATGCAGATCGATCGATCTAGGAAAGGGAGGAGAAGAATGGAAATAAAAAAGGAGAAAGTGATGGAACGCGCGAGTTCCTCGCTGATGAACAAGATGGCGTGAAACTAACAAGTACAACAATTTTATTACATTAATAATGCAATATTTTACATTCTTTTCTTTTCTTAATGATACGATTATGTTGAATTTGAGGTATCAGTCGCCAATGAGCCCCCATAGAAGTCTACATACTAAGTGGTTTTCATGTCTCTGGGTAAGTAGTATAGGTCAGTAGAGTGTCAGACCTTTTCTTTCAACTCCCTACACAGACCTCAAAGACTGTCTACATAGAAAGACTTTTATTTTCTTAGGACAGATCTTAACTTGTGCTGATTACTTTATTGTTATAAATCTATAAAATGACCACTAGCTTTACAAATGCCATTTTATAATTGAGCTAATGTAAGTGGAAACACGAGTTAACTGGTGACCGGTCAACAATGCGTTAACTCTACAATTGATAGGCTTCCGGAAATCGGCATCTCGCGGGGACGGAGTTGCGGCGATACCGCAATTCGACGTTCCATCGAAAAGGGAAACGGCAGGAGACACTCGATGAAACGAAACGACGCTGCGAAAGGTGGAGGTGGTTTCAGCCAAAGGAAAGGTGTAGAAGAAGGGAAGAGGGGGAGAAGGAAGAGGAGGTGAACGTTGAGAAACCAAGGCGTAATCCGAGGCGTAGATGCATCGATAGCAACGAACAGCCAGCGAACCCGATTACCACCGACTTCCAGGAGCGTTCTCCGTTGCCTGCACGCACGCACACGACCCAGAGATTCTACCACCTTCTCCACCTCCATCTTCTCCTACTTCTCTTCCTCGAACGTACTATACGGTGCGTGAACCAGCGAGTGCTGGAGGAGAATGCGAGCGGACGTATGGGCGGTCTGGCCGTTCGACGTCTTCAAAAATGTAGGGAGTGGACCTCGCGTTTCTTCAGCGTCGCTTTGCAGCCTCGCCATCTCCACGCTTTCCACTTTCGCGCCGTTTTTTAAACGCTTCCTTTGGTCAAGGTTGTCCAGAAATCGCAATTTTCGATAATTAACTAATCCCTAATTCTCGTTTCGATACCTAAGAAATTATTTGATATTTCAAATAGCTATTCAAAGTTTGATCAACTCTGATTATTCGTTGCACAGGCTCGCGGCTGTCTTGGACAATCGTAAATAGCCGGTACCTAATATACAGTTCGTGTTTCTTGTTGATCGAGGTACAACCAACGCGCGTCCACTCTGAAGAAACGAGTCAGCCGGCGAACGGTGATCGGGCTGGTCGAACGATTTGCAGTTTCTTGCAAAACAGGCACACCGTTCACCAGGATTGCTGATAGCGCGATGATAAGCGAGGCCTGTAGATAGGCGGGGTCGCGATGAGAACCACTGCACGGGGAGTGGACTCTCGGAGCACTTTATCTCCGGAGTCCAAGATGTGGGTCGCGACTGCCGCCCGCCACGCGAACACTAATACTACCTTAAGGCTCGTCCACACCTGGCTGCACGTGCGCTCTTAGCGAATTCTGTACGTGTTTCTTTCTTGCATAATTTCGTTTCAATTGAAACTCCGACCTCTATAGATATAATATTTTAGGGGTAGTTTTAATATTTTCGAGAGACCTCTGATACAAATCGATGCATCGATCTTCTTAATAACGTTCGCATCGTGTCATCGATCGAGAAGGTATCTTTAGGCGTGCCACACGCGATCGGTACCATAACGATCACGTTTTAGTCATCTAATGGTTGGAACGAATCATACCGTTCACATGATACTTCTTTAAACGTTCCTTTTAACAACCATCAATTCACGATCATTTGCATTCTTGAACACTGTCCTCTTTTATCTGCACGCGTGTACGTTCGGTCAAAAATGAGAAAATAAAAAAATCAAGCTCTCCAACTGATTGACGTTGATCGTGAATTTCTCCTTCGAGTTTCTACAGCGAAGGAAGAACGATCGAAGGGAAAACTTGGAGCGGAGACTCTCGATTTCATCGCGCTGGAATCGCGATCGATTTCGCGAGACGTCTTGGACACTCCCTCTCTTTTTCTCTCTCTCTCCTTTGCTCTTATTTTTTCCACTCGTTCCTTCTATGATCGTTCTAATCCGGCGTGGATGAAAATAAATGATCGGAACCGGAGAGTATCATTTTTGTTACTCGTCAGCAGCTTCACTTTCGATATTACTTTCGAGGCCGGCGACGTATCCAGTATCAGCCGATCCTTCCACGGTCAAACGAGAGAGTCTCTTCGCTTTCATCCGCGAGTCGAGCAGAAAACTAGATCGTCCGGAGGATCTCCACTTTTCCGTACGTACAGAGATCGCCTTCCACTTAGCCGATCGATTTACAAGACGAATTAGAAAATTTTATCAAATCAAATCGATCGGAAACTCGGTGAAATTGCTCGCAGAGGCGTGAAAAGTAATCGAGGGTGAATCTGAGCTTCGAGGATTTCTTGTTAATTAAAAGAGAAGTGCGATCCGCATCTTGCTCTCGGAAGCCGGACGGGAAGAAACGGTGAGGTTTCGAGCGGACGGTGAAGCGGAATAGCGGAGAGGAAGGAGCGTGTAATGACATTTAAGTGGGCACTATTGCGACGTTATCTTGGTCGAGGCGGGAGAGTAACTTCTCTTTTTCCTCGGCCAGCTACTAAAACGGCCGAGAGTAAGCGGCCGAACGATTCTATGGGCCGCAAATAAAAAACGGCACACGCCTCGCGGTGGCACGAACGCCGACCGTGTATATTTTCCTTGCAAAGCCGAGCGAACGGAGCCCGCGCCAGCCTTGTCCAGGCTTTCTCTGGACCACCCCGCCCACAATCTGTGTAACGTATAACGTATACCGTATACCAGCTTGTGCACGCGCGTCCATAGAGATGGGATCGACCGGGCCCGATTCTATGCTTGCGAATCGCGCCTGACGCGTTGCGAATCACGGTACGGTTACTTGCCTTTCCACTGGCTTCGATACGCCACGCCGCCGCCGCCTTAATTTCTCTCTCGGTTTGTCTGCCTCACTGCCGCGAGGATAACGCTGTTGCAATTTCCTATATCGTGCTAGGTACCGCTGCTATGTGGGTGACTCTGAAAGTTTCGATAAGCTCACTCCCATCTCTAGCAGTCGTTCATCAACCACTCTCGATGGGCAATTAAAAAATGGACCAGCTGTGTCTGATCTGACATTTCGGTTCTCGTCTTTCGATAACGTCACCATTTTCAGTATGACCGGCGTTAGAAATTTTCTCTTCCTACGATTATCCTCTTCATCCTTTCGAAGGGCATCGACCTATTCGAGTTGAGTAGAGGTATCGATATCGACAATTACGCAATACTCGACGCGTAAGCTGTTTAAGGCTAAATTTAATCGATTTGCGAAATATCGAGCGCTAACGAGCGCCGCAAAGTCGCGTCTTCGGGGCGGTTTCGCAAATTCGTACAGACCAAGTGCGTGCCGGCAATTTCGCGGCTCGCCTGGAATGCCTAGGCATTCGATTGGCACCAGGATACGTCGAGGATGAAAACCTTGTTCCCGTTTCCTATATATAGAAACTTCAAGCGCGGTAACACGACAAAGGTACACGGCAGATCGCGCCTTTTGCTTCCGACCGTTCCAGCCACGACGTTAGAAACGTGGCCGGCTATCCAACCTACTGAAATTTATTTTCCATTCGCAGGTGATCGTGGAATCGCTAACGATGCGATCGATTTGCCGATCTACCTTTCTACGACCACCTGATACATCACTTTTCCTAGTTTCCCCCTTACCGCCATTCAAATAGAGCACTATTACTTTCTATCATTAGCCATTCATTGCTGCTGCCGTTCAAAATTACTTATTTGAGTACAATGAATTCCTAAGTACCGTGCGTCGCCGACTTTCCGGACGGATTCTTCATGTCTACCCAGAGATCAATGACCTAAAGAGAATCTGAGTCCACATGAGTTTTCATGAAACAAATAATTAAAAGCCCCAAAAAAGCATGTAGAAGAGAATGTGCAACAGGTGCAACGAAATATCAGGAAAAACCGGAGAACGTTGATGTTTTGGAGAAAAAGGCCGTCGCGTTCGAGCGTCCATCGGAACTTTCGATCTTCACGAGTCTGAGCGAAGGCGAGCTGGCAAACCGCTAGAGGAGGAAAACTAGATCACTTCGGGATGTGGTCGCGTCGACCACGCCAGAATGTTTGCGATACGATAGAAAGAGAGAAAGGAATCGACTTTATTGGCTGCGTTCACACCAAGCGACGCGTCGTGCCACCACTGTGCGTTCACGGTATGTTTCTTCCACGAACGATTTAGCAAGAGGCGAGGGGTTCGAGTCGCGTATCCTTTGAAACGTCGACAAACGATCAGGTAATTTGGTGTTTTATCGACCGTTTCGATCGCCTCGATATTTAATCGCTTAATAAAAGCAAGAGGCATCGTTAATCGGTTGTATCGAGCTGCCGAACAAATATTCAACCAGGGGGGGAATCGATCGGGGCACGGGACGGTCGAAGGGAGCGTAACAGGCACGCACAGCACGTGCAACCGTTCCGACAATCAATTAAGCGGTGGATTTCACCGATCGCGAAAACGCGAAAGAAAATAAAAGGCGTACAGATGAAAGCTAAACGTCCGAGTCGATGGCCTACGCTTCCGTAGCCGCTAGTCTCCGAGAAACAACCTGATGGTAATTAAGATTCAATCTCGTCGCGGATCAGAAGCTCGAACATCTGAAAACTTCAGTCGTTTTCTTCGCTAAGAATTTTTCTTCAGGACACCTCTAACATAGTCAGTGGTTTTCAGGTGAGGTGCAGAAGGAAGGAAGGAAAAGGAAGGGTGAAAGGAGGGATGAGTAGACACACCAACCACCGTTAATTGGAATCGAAACCAGCTGCTTCGGGCGTAAAGAGGAGCAAGGGGCGAGTCGAGAGGGAGCGAACAAGATCCAGTGAAAGTAGGTAACTGCTCGGCCACGCGTCCTGCCCGCTTATAACATTGCTTTTCTGCGTAAGTGTTAGAACTAGTGCACACGTGCACGCACGTGGACATCCAGTTGCTTCCAGGTATCCACGAAGACGTTGACTTGCTGGCCATCTAATACTCACCGAGGTAGAAGGAAGGAGATGCGATGGTATTAGGTGTTAGGGAAAGTTCTTCGGGTGCTTTTTTCCCGGAAGTGTATGTATTCCTTACATAATTTGTATTGTTATTCGAAATGATCGATAAGCAACATGGTCTTGGATGAATTTTTTTCATAGCTAATCAAACCGTGCAATTCATGGTTATACTTCATTTTCAAGAAGGTAAAATTTACTATCTGCTTTAGGATCTGCTCTAAAGTAAAAGTTGTTTAGGCACAGTGCGAGCCGTAAACGTCGCATGTGGCAACGAAAACCAGTAAAATTCGCCCAAGAGGAACGGGAGCACTTAAGGTTTCAGCTAACGTGCAAGATTCGAGCGTAATGATGGCGAGAAAGCGATCCCCAACGAAGCAGGTGAGCTCGAGGTGATAATGAGTGCATTTCGTAGCCACACGTGCACTCTATCATATCATAATGCAATTTCTCGAGTTTGATAAGCGCCGTGATCGCGATATTAAGGATACTTGTGAACAGGTTTACATTCTGTGCATCAAACTTTCATACCTGATATTGATCGTTCATCGATCAGTTAATTAGCACCGAACCACTCACTTCCGGCGCGAGAGCTGAATCTACGATCTCCAATCATTATTTCAGAAATTATCGTCTTTACAGGTAAAAATGACGATAACTAGTAACTGGTTATAAAAGGAAGACTGTTAGATTTTATTTTCATGATTATGACTAGCTTTCAAGTGTCGTTGGATAAAGATATCAGATTATCAAAAACCCTTCACGATTTTATGGAGTAAATGTCTCTTTGGCTTTCGTGACGCGAACGATTTCGTGTTACAAAGCGATATCGAGCACAATCGAGCGAATTAAGACGTGGTACGAGTACGTGGCAGTAATTTAACGATCCATTCATAAAGTCGAGGGAACACGTGCGATGCGTAACTAAGTGGCAGGGTGAATTTCGACCCGTTCCCATTAATTATCGGCCCGTGCACTAATGGCTTTTTCGCCTCGAACCGATTCGGTTCCATTCAGACGACTAACTTATCCGATTAATGGTCACGATCGTAAAGAGATACTCGGACCATCATTAGGATCGTTTTGGCAGCGTGTAATTAATACAACTAATTTCCAGATTGAATGGTGTGAGTCGAGAGAAAAAAAAAGGATCCGTCGATGTTTCGGGTGATCATCTTTCTTTTAACCTGTGAACGTGTGCTCGTACACGGACACCATCTCGAAACCGTTTAATTACGAATGATTGTTCTGGTGTAATTATGAAATTCGAACGCAATCTCGCATGCCAGGGCAATAATCGGGGTCGGTTACGAACGCGTCCGGTGTGGAACTGTCGGTCGTTGCGCAAGGTAACGAAGATAAGTGGCGGAAGGCAATGTGCAAACTAATTTGAACGCGTTTGAAATATTCTACATTAACGTGGTATCGTACATTAGACGTCGCTATTTCGAGAAAGTCCTAGGAGAGTGCGATTTATAGGATTTCAAGAAAGGATACGAATCAAGGAAAGCGAAGGCGATAAATACCGGAAGTAGCCTCGTCAATTTGTATAGCAATTTCACGAACGACTTATTCGTCTAGCTTGCTTCTCGGCTTGGAACATAGCTGCGAGAATGGCGCATACCAGCGTGCATTCTTCGAATCCTTCGAAAATACCGGAGCGCGTGAACCGTGCTAATAGCCAGGCGTGGTGCGCGAACCTCGTAATGTCAGAGGGTGAGCATTCTCTCTGGCTTTCGTGTAAAAGGATTTTTCCTCGCAGTTATCAGCTCTGTTTCTTTCAGACGATACGAGCCGAGGAAAGTTTGAGCCACGCGCATGTAACGAGTAGATACTTACCGTGTTCGTCAGACACGTCGTAATTCTCTTGCTACTTTGTCGACTTTGAATGGAAACGGAACACCTCTTCCTGGTAAAAACGATGGCAGCGTAATTTCACGTGCTATGAATAATTAAATGCTGCTATTCCACCCACCAACCATTGGAAGGTTAATTTAAAGCTAATACAACCTACTCGAAAATCAACGTTGAAACGTTATAAAATAGGATAATCATAAGACAGGATTAGCATAACTTGACTGTACACCCGATGACACTTGGCTCCAATATATCTGAACACTGCAGACCCCCGCATAATGGAAAGATAACGTAACTTAGGATCGCTATGGCTAAGGTCTACATTGAACCAGGATTAGTATAACCAGGAAGTAACGGAGTCTAGGTAGAGCCTTATCTAGCTATAACTTAGCCCTAGTGTCGCTTACGATTAACATATCCTTAAGCTGTTCCAGCCTTCCACGATCTAGGACGTTCAAGAATTTAACACGATTCGAATTCAATAGGAGCAAGAATTAATAGGAGCCGAAGGCATCGTTTCACCCCAGACGGGTCGCCTTCTGTCGTAACTCGACGATAAAATGACTTTTTAGCGTCATATGCGATAAACGTTTTGCGAACGAGCAGCACGTAATGGCGGCACGTGCGAGGCACATCGGATGCAGTGGACACTGCGGGCGAGTTTCGTCGCCTTCGTCAGAAGTGATAGTGACACGAAGCACGAGTTGCTCACGGTTGGTGGGACTGGCTCGACGTTATAAATTAAAACGATTCAAAAGGCGAATGGCTTAACCGTTCAGTGGCGTAGCACCGCTACGTTCGGTTTTAGTCCTCGCCGAACTGCACGGATATATGGTAGAAAATTTTCAAGCTTCCATGGCCAGCGATAAATCTCGTCCGGCTGGTACGTCTAAGATTTCAACTAACGTCGCGTATCCTTTGGATAAAAAGTGCAGCAAGTCCAACACATGGTGTCCCATCGAACGGGACAGAAGCCGTAAGTCGATCTTCCTCGAGATCCTATCGTCTTCCCACCCACGTGACGATTCGGAAGGTGGAACTGGAGGATTCCTTTCCTACTCTCCCAGGACATTACGATCGGTGTCCGTAGCATCCGATACCAAAGCGATCGAGACGCCTGCTCTTACAACCTACACGATCTTGCTGCACCTAGTGCTCGACCAACGAACGAACGGTGGGCTGACCATTCTTTTTTTTCCCTCGACCACTCGAGATTATCGTCCGGTTCGGTCTGCTCCGATCCGGGACAGCTTCAGCTCCTTAGGTTCCTTCGTTCTCTGACTCACTGCTCCGCCCTCGGAACGCAGCTCGCGATCTGCGTAGACGGAATCGGAATCGGAATCGGAATCGGGATCCGGCTTCGGAATCGTTTCGAACGCGTTCGATTGTCTACACGATCCGCGGTAAAGGACTTTCATCGCGAAAGGTGGTTAACCCTTCAGGTAAACAGGTCTAACAAATGTGTCTTCAGGATAGTCATTATTTATTTATATAATACAGAGTTAAAGAAAAATCAGCTATCATCGAGTGACATCGAGCCGAGGAACGATTCTGTCTTCCTAGACGAGAAATGATTTAATTAACTCGTCGATTTCCTCGAGTCATCGTCAGGGTTGAACGTGGGCTGAACAAAAGGACGTGTCACAGGAACGCGGAAGGATGTCGAAAGATCGTTTCGCTCGTGGGAGGATTTCGTTTGCCATCGGGATGCGAAATAAGTATCAGCCTGTTGGCGTACAAATTGTCGATCGATCGATCGATCGATCGAACGTTATCAAGGATTCACCGGAATAAATTGAAATATCGTGTATTCGATATTTCGAGGAAGCAGAGAAACAGATAAAGCCGTTCGGTAATATATTTATGGCTGGCAGGTAATTTCCTGATACGAAATCGGTTGCGACACAATCAAAGGCGTGTCGTTGATAGTCCAGAATTTCGACACATTTCGTATTTGCGTCAAACTCGCGCTCTGTCTTGAAACCGGTTCCTGTTCGCGTTATGATACACGCTCGAGATCGAGCGGAGAGCCGGGTGCGGTGCCTCGATAAATCCGCCAATAAGCTGGTAATTACATCCACGGTATCGTCGCCGATCGTCCGGCTGGATCTCTTTCACCATCGATACAGCTTCCTTTTTCTCGAATTTCCAGCTGACCGGTAATCGAGTTAGCTTAACGACTTCGTATCCGTTTGCTACAAATTAGCCGTGACCGAAGCGAGGATCGTTGAACGAAATTGCGCTTCCGAATCGAAGCTAATCTGAGAAAGTCGACCGGTTGCAAATCAACTTGTCGCTCGCCAACTTTACGTCACTGCTCCTCGATGTCCACCCTGTTTTATCTGCCAGCCAGTTTAGCTTTATTTATTCGGTCACTTTCAACGTGCATCCAACCTCGAGATACAAGCTCTGCTTGATTGTGCGTGTTAGGTGTACCTGAAATGTCGATACGAAACTGATACGCAGTCCTGACATTATATTGGTTCGTTCGTAATTTCCTCTTTCTGATAGATTTGAAATTTTTCTTATCTAATTTCTCATTTTCTTGTTTTAAATTGCCTGCCAACTAAGTTGATAAGCAGGGACATTTGTCGGTACCATTTCCGGAGAGGATTTCATTATAGATACAATTTTTGATTTTTAAATCAGTTGCAGTTTCACAGTGTCGCGTAACGTGATGTAGTTGTAGTTAATATTATACAGGGAATAAAATTGTTGATCCACGCCGATTTTTCCACGCAACACGACCGACAGAGCAGAGCGGCTTTCGAAAGCGAATGCAGCCACGGGGCGACATTCTTTTGCGTCGGTTCTGGAGCAAAGCGGCTGCTTCTCTCGCTTGAAACCGCGTCTCCCATCGCGTTGGAATTTGCATTTAAACGCCTGGCTTACGTAACACGGCGCGGTGCGGCGAGGCAAACGCGTTCAGGAAACGCCGATGCGAGAGAGCCGATTCGTGCGAGTACTCCTAGAATCCGCCTAGCTATCCTACACGCCGTACACGTTCCGCTTCGATATTCGACCGTTTATCGAAGCGTCAACTCAAACTGCTTCACTGTCGCGTGAAATTGAAAGTTTATGGCAAACGTTTCGGTACGGGTTGAAAAAAAATACACGTTCACTTGGAATATAAAATAATGTAATCACAAATCAGGCAGCTCGTTTTTTAAATGAGTTTCATTTCACGAGAAGGAGTCGAAAAGTGCTCTTTTCGAGGACGTGTCTTACGAAAAACGCAGACAATTCGTTGAAACACCATCGACAATTACGAAGCTGATATTCCAAGCAACTTAACATTTACTTGTTCGATTTCATCGAGACGCCTCGAGATACGGAGACACTCGGCCTGTAATTATTGATCGTAACTCAACGGGAACGCCTACATGGTAATCCGGACGAAAATTAATTAAAACATTACCGCGTCCTTCGTGATTTTTAAGAGAACAAATTAGCCAAATTACGATTGATCGGTAGCCGGGCTGAATGTTTTACGGGAGGACAGAGATCGTATCGAGTGCGCGTTTACGTAGATGGATCTACTGGAAATTTTCACCGGGTTCAATTTCCCGCAATGACGCGCGCAAGGACGCGGATTAGCATACAGACGGACCACCCATGAAACGACCCTGTGCGAGCAACGGACTGCTCTTCGTTCTCGTAATAAGCGGCCGCTCGTGTCGGATCCTCCGCGTACAAGTACCGCCCGTGTACCCATCCGTATATCTCGATTTATGCCGTTATCGATCCTTTATTGGCGTCGATATATATTCCTGTTCGATCCTTACATCGATCCTGGCCGTCTCCTTTTCTCTTCCTTCCTTTACTCTGCGTTGTGTCGCGCGTAGGAGTCCGATGTCCCTCGAACGGTATCAGCCGACTTTGCTCTCTTCCTTCCTCTTCTTCTTCTTCTTCTTCTACTAGTACACCATGTTACTTATCGAGTCCATGATAACTGGCTGTGTTTACGATCGTCGTTTCAATGATTACGATCCTCATTTGGCTGGTATAATTAATCCCTTCATGATTGTAAGGAACCTGAATGAAACGAGCATGAGATTTATGTTGATATCAGTGATAACCTTCTGCTGAGATACAACTATTTTTCCTACATTTCTTTACTTACATTCACATTTCTTTCGGAAGAAATCTATGTCCTGTTGTGGCTTGATCCACAACCGTGTAGGTACACTTTTTATAATTAATTTCTTGTTCCTGACACAGTTGAGTGAAACTCAAGGATACGAAAGAAATTGTTTTAAAAACTGTGAACGTTGATAAATTAATATCTTCCGTTTGTTCGTTCATTAGAAAATCAAAGTTTTCGAATCGAGACGACTGAAGAATATCAAATGAGAAAGCAAGAATAGAAGCGACTTTATTTATTGCAACCGGCCTATCGACCCTCGTACTCAACCGTGTACCATGTTTATTAATTAACCTGACTGGTCAATTATTCGATGTAATTATTAGAGGTATGCTCGGTGTCAGGAAGCATCGACAGGCCGATAAGATGTTTCTCTGAGACGACAAGCGGTTTACGTTTCATGTAGACATAGTCGTTAAAGAAGTACATCTCTTGGAGCATTCGCTCGATACAAGGATCGGCTGGATCAACTGGAAGAAGTCTGATAAAAAGATAGAAGTTTTCAAGCTCGAGGATCTCGAGCAACAACGACCGTGATACGAAGGACGCTCTCTTTCTCTCTGTTTCTCGTTCGAAGTGGCAAGAACCGCTTCGAAAATCCCTCTTCGGCTGCAAGAAAATGCCGAGGAAAAAGTAGCCTTCGTTCCTTAGTTCGTTGGTCACAGCGAACCATTCCATTATTGTTGTTCCAATTTGCGTAACTACATTTTTCTTTAATCGTTCTACGGAATCGGGTTTGCGCGTTATCCGTTACGTTCTCCTCTTCCATCTGGTGGCTGGTTAATCGTACAGGGTGTTTTAAAGAAATTCTCTTGCACAGGCACAGTTAGCATAGGTAAATAAATAAGAAGGCATGTAAATAAGAAATAACCGTATATCGAGCACTCGTGTCTCGCATATAACGGGTCCGGTTAAATTAGACGTCTCCTCGAAGAAAGTATCGGCTGAACTGCGACGATTTATCGAGCCCTTCAGCAACGATGAATCACCCAAGATCTTCGTGTCTCGTGCTGGGGGGAAAAAAAGAAGAATCAATGCTCGTTCCGTGAAATTACATTGGTCCGATGAAGGATCGTTTGCCTTGCAATTGAGCTATCCGACTGTCCGACAACTTCCCTTCTCCCTAATTTGATATTCGAACCTACACCTACGTCGAGCGATTCAGTAAATCAAACTAACCAGTCTACCTGTCATCTCGTAGCACGTTTTAATTGCGTTTACCGGGATATTGAGTCGTTATGTGCCGTTGAACAGGAGGATCTTTCGGATGATTTCTTCCTCGCAATTTTTTCTCTTCCTCTTCCGTTCTGCCCTCAGATCGCTATCGAACGACCGGCACGGCTCTCGTTCCTCCGCACACGATCGTTTCTTCGATCGAGAAACAATTGGCCAACGCGAAGCTGGTTAACGGTGCATTCGATTCGGTCAGAAATTAATCGCTCGAAGTCGTGCGAAAATTATTGACCAAGCGTCTCGCGTGAATCGTACCTGCATCCAGGGTCATTAGTTTCCCTGGCGTTCGGTGGTGATTTACGTGATCGTTAACGGGACATTAAGGAACCGCGACACCACGAAGGATGTTTTGACAGCTCGGACCGAGGGCAAACATGATGGAGGTGTCGATCGAATTCACTCGGTACACGAGCTGGATGCTCGATTTAAGGAGGCGTAATTAAAAAGCGTGCCACTTATCGATACCCCGGTGGATAATTTAAGACGTTCTCGATCGAGGATGAGACCGTGGGTATCAATTTTCTGCCGGCTAATTTCTGCTCTGTTCACCGTTGACGTTAATGGGTTATTTATTAATTATCGTATGAATTCATTAGTAAGCAAATGGGATCGAGGGATATTCGATAGATCGTTTCGGTAGTGATTTTAAGTAGAATCGAGGAAATCCTTCCGTTCGAAATCACCAGTCACCAGGTCGACCGACCTTATGGCCGATTTCTAAAATGGCAAAAAGTCACGACGCAGCGGTGCTCAGGGCTGATGGTGCAACTATAATAATAAAGTCCTTGCCACGAGTGAAAACTTTGTACAATTTCAATTCCTCGAATCTCGATGTCTTCAGATTTCGAGCAGAGATTCTATTTCTATTTGATGTAACAATGATGTTATATCACGCTGGAAGGAGATCAAATAAATTGCGAGGAACAGACATTTATTACGAGAGGAACGTCAACACCGGTGTAAACACATATATATTCATCTCACGTAATTTCACGCAATTCGTGGAACGAGTCCTCGCACCGACAAGCCGAAGAAAAAGGAAGACGCTTTTTAGGTCAGGAACGCGGTTTATCCCTCATCCCTCTTCTTCCTCGGAGTGTCCGCTACCTCGAGTGTCCTTCTTGCCTCTCCCTTTTAATCAGACTTCATGTAGGAATGGGAATGAGACGCTTCGAAATAATTTTCAATGTCGAACTTTCGGTTTTTCTTTTATTTTTATTCAATTCTGAAATATTCTAATTAACCGATATTCCGAAGATTAGTTAACATTGGAAATGGTTTGGAAAACGGTTGAAAGTGCATCACGAACCGATTGGTTCGGAAGGCGGCGGCGAGAAATCGTATCGAATGGCCATCGCTACTCGGTCGCGTAGCCAGCCAACTGGTTTTTGCCGATGCAACCGAGCCAAGCTGTGAGTGCTACCTAAGCCAAGCCGAGAGAACCAGATGTACGCGGTTGTGTCCTCGCGGATATCGGTTAGCAGTTTCCTGGGAGAGTCTGGCTGTACGTACGATCGTCCTTGAAGCCGTTACACTCCCTTGCATCGCGGCTCTTGTAAATCGGGCCTCGAGTTCGCCACACTATTACACCCACCGACACGCCTCTGCCCTCTCTGTCCATTATCGACTTATCGAAATCAGCAAGATTTGACTATTATCCCTCTGTAAAATCACGACATTACTTCACCGCAAAACACTCGAATGTTTTCTCCTGCAATAGATCATTCGGTTAACCCTTTCGCTACCAATGACATTATTACACGGTGTACGTTGATAAAAAAAAAAAAAAAAAAAAAAAAAAGAGAAGAAAAATTCAATAGTACAGCATCGATTTCTTCACAAATGATTAATAACTCTCCATCAGGTGTGAAAATGTCGCAACGCGGTTAATTATAAGGGTGGGGCCAGAGTGATCCGCACGCAAACCTCGCTGATACGATTTTAATGATCGTCTCGTTGCTGCGTTCGATCGACACCAGTGAAAGTGATAGAAAGCGAAATAATAGAGGCTGGCCGATGGTAAAGAATCTCGACTCCCGCGCGAAATCTCGGCCGAGATGCTCGTCCAGCCTCTGGGAGCCGAGAAAGAACCGATCGAATCTGTTATAGAGGAATGATTAGTATCGGATCGTTAAAGCGACCGTGTAAACGGATAATTGGGCAATAACACAGAAACGAAGATCACGAACGCGACTCGCGGCTCCGCATATGGAACGATCACGATCGGAACGAAGATCTAACCGTTCAGATAAACAGGTAACGAACGATCAAATTGAAAAAAAATTGGGTGGTCAATGTCACGGGGGTGCGGTCTTCTCGGTTGATCGTGCTTATTAAGTAGACAAATTTTTCAACAAGGCAGCTCGAAATGTCAGAAAATAATAATCTCGAAAGATTATAATCTAAACGACGCAGTGTCGAAGGGGTTGAAAGAGCATAGCGTCGATTTCGTTCTTCCGGGAAACGAAATGGTGGTTGGAGTTATGCAACTGGCACGATCAAGGTGAATAGTGTAATACGCTGGAACAACGAGGAGCGGTTCGAGCAAGAATGGGAATATAAATTTCATTTCCCCCGGATCGGTTTCGAATCGAGGCTACAGAGATAAGACGATACGCGCATAGATTTCGAGAACCGTTCTATCGATAGATCCCGCGAATTCTTGGATCGTGGTCGATCGATATATGGGTGTGACGACGTAGCACATCGGCCCTCTTATCCTTTCCTTCCTCGTGTGTTAAATATCTGATTTCCTTACAATGTACAGTGTGTATCGCGTTACACAGTACCGTACCTACCGCGGCGAACATTCGTTACACTTTATGTAAATTCGCGTTAAAGATCGTTGCCTTTATTCATGGAATAGGGCACGGTGATTTGTGGTGTCGTCGATCTAGTCGCAAACCGAACGAGTTATGAAATATAAAACAATTAAAAGAAACGTGTATGTTCATCGGTTCATGAGGCAGGAAGTCGGAAAGGAAACAACACGGTACAAAAGAAAGTGTCGTAAAACAGACGGCAGATTTCGCGGGAAACGAACGACTGACTCGGTTGCATGTAATTAACCACGTGGATAAACGGTTGATTCGCGTTTCGGATAATTGCCGGGGCAACGCGTGTATCAAAAGCGGGCGTCTCGCAAAAAGGTAACGAGCAAAGCGGTGAAGTGTTTTACGAGCAGAAAGATCGCTTTCGTTTCGCGTTCTTGGATTTCACTTTTGACGATCCCGAGGAAATTCACTGCTGTAACCTTGGTAAAAAAAATTGATGAACACTCTCGGTCCACTTGACAACCTGCTACGATCAGGTTCACCGAGTAATTTCTTAAATTTCTTCTTCTTAAATAAACAGTGAGAGTTAAAAGTGAGTGTACACCACTTGAATTCAGAATTCCAACGATCCTATGGTGTTTTAGAGATTGCATTTCACGATGTCGTGCCTGCAAAGTGACACTACCGTCACTTCGATACTTTTCAGATATCAAACTAATTGCAGAGACCTAATTGAATGGGGGACAAAATTAGCAGCGTATACGACGTGGTAATAACACGTCCTATCGGTCCTAATGAAAGCGAATCGACAGAGTAAGTCGCTCGTTACGATTTCGCAATTGATTTCGTTTGTCGTTCCAGAAACTGAATTGACACGAATTAAAGTATAGCGGTCTGGCTCGATTACGATTGACGTTGACGTACCGTTCTCGTTTAATGGATATAATACAGTTCTGAATCGTGTACATCTTCGACCTCCGTCTCATAATGGACCTGTCATTAGAAAATGAAGACGCGAGACACTTGGAGAAATTAGTTGGCATATCTTCCGCTTGATTATGCTCGTTAGCGAGCCTCGAAACATCAGGGTCAGCCGTGAAACTCGTCTCCCGAGGAGAGAATCCAAGCTTATCCATCTTTTCACGCGTCAAAAGGAGGAGAAATGTTAAGTGGTCGAGTTATGGAGTTGTACGGGAAACGATGCGCTACCTTTTATGGAAGATTTATTCTACTATTTCGAGTTTGCAGGTGCGCGTGCAATTATCGAAGTGTTAAAGCTTGAAAACTATCACATCGAGGGGCAGGGGGGGGAAGAGTTGAAGTGCAATCAGCATGCAACTAATTTCTTACAAAATTCCTGTTGCATCCAGTTACACTTCCGTATCGAAATGGTCTATCTTCTCTTCGGAGAAGAGCAAAAAGCTAGGAAGCAATCGAACCGAGACGTTTCACCGTGGTGCGTGCAGCTTTCATCACGTGCGATTTCCGATATCGAAAGTTCGAAGTGCAATTTCGTGGCAGAAATAAATCCCTGCCGGCTGCATAAATCCTGGTACCTTCGTGCCAGAACCTCGTGCAGCACACGTCGCTGAACTTCTCTCGCGAGTGAAGGCAGGGAAGAAAAAGAAAAAAATGAAATCTGTCTCGTTCTCCATCTCGAGCGTGCAGCGGCGAGCGAGCAGGACGGAGACGAAGAGATCGAGAAGAGAGTCGGAGTCGGGGCCTGGTGTTCACCTACTCGCGAGGGTGTGTACCAAGGCGTGTGCAGTGCCCGTACAACGAAGAATTTCGCTCTGCACGAGACAGCGATACCGGTGCAAGGAGGTATCTATTGCTTGTGCAATAGTGAACGTATAGCGGATGTCAAACCGAGCCGCACGCCGTGCACGTACCTATCTCGCACACCCCTGCACCAACTTTACCTGCATATCTGCATCGGGACGGTTGACAACTCGCGTGCATACGCGCCGCGCCGCGCCGCTTTCGTAGACCGCTAATTTGCAAGCAGGAAGCGGAAAGTCTAATCGACGGATTCTGGACGAATCTCGTACAGAGCCACAAGATTTCTCACCGTGGTAATTAGAGAAATCCTGAAAACGGACGTTTCTTCTTATAAAACAAAAGGCACTGCAATCTTGAACCACTCGTACCAAACATTATCCTTCGGCTGGTTGAAATCAATCCTATTGCAAAATTAATTAATCGACCGTACGTGGCACTTGTTGTTCCCGGGTTACACTTCTCTTCATTATCCTCGAATTGCTAATTAACCAACGACTTCGTGAGAACCATTGCGGTGAAAACTGCGCAGGTTACGCAATTCTCATTTCTTCTGTCGATGGTTGCACGCGCCCACAGCTCGAGCGCGTGTCAATGATGCCGAGATGCGAGAGAGGCGCCAAAGGCAGATCGAACGGGGGAGAAAAAAGAAAAAAGATTCGGCACAATGGGATAATATTTCACGGGTGCAGATCACGATCGACCTTGGCCGAATCGATCGTACAAGATCGACGGATCGATCTCACGGTGCACGTAGCACGGTGTTACCACGAAACACCGCTCTGTTAACAGCTACGACCGCCTTTCCAGTGTGTTTACAAATATTGCAACAAATCAAACGGGCTTCCAGCTGCTTCATTGTTACTTGGCTGACTTGCAGATACGGCGAGCTGTACGCCGCGTCGTTGCACGCAGTCAACCCGGATTTTACGCGTGTCACGGACCCAACCAAGTTTCTCCGTTCCGGCTTCTTTTTTCCCCGTAATTTTGCACGCTGTTATCCCGACTCAATGTTTTTCGTTACATCATTCCACGGACCTCGGCTTGAATTTAGCATGGATATATTTGAAATCGCTTCGACAGTCTACAGCTTTTTATAAAACGATCCATACGAGCTGACGCCTTTTTTCCCCTGGCTGTTGTAACGTATAGACTGGTCAGTTTCTATTTGACCCACGGATCAAATTTACAGACGCGATTTCTACCTTAAACGACAGAGACGCTTTAATTCGTTCGTACAGTAAAAGAGAAGGCTGAAGGGGGTATCGTTGAAAAGATATATCGTCGATCGAAGGGATCCGTTCTCGCAAGGACGACTCGTTGCATTCCCGAGATTTACGCCCGAATTTCGGGCTAACGAAGCGTCGTTTTTTCGATCGCGATCGTGTCGCAATCGACGACTATCGGTCTCACGAAAATCGTGAATTGTTTTTCGCTGGTGAAATTACACCTCTCTCCACCCGACGTAGGAATTCACGGTGTACGTTCTTCTTAACTCTTTAGCGCTCTTATGTAGGTACCTTGTACGTTTCGTAATCGTCGTTGGATTGCGATGGTAAAACTGTTTGATGAATGTACCGATAGGTAGTAATTTCATTTCAAAAGAATGTAGTGCGTTTTTGTTGAAGCCTAAGTAAAATAAATGTACTTTTAACACGTCGATCGGCACACTGGAAATATTCGTATCTACCGTGGTACATTACAACGAGGATTATTAAAGATATTGAAACTCCTCGAGCTTGTAATTACGCGTTGATAAAATTCATGGCAGAGAGGAAAATTAATTTATACGAACTGGTTACGTTTCATGGAATTCGCTTGAAGATTTGATATCGAATCATAGTGGAAAGGGTTAAACCTGTGTTTGCCGGACAAATTGAGCTTACCAAATCGTCGACAGGCTTGTTGTAGCGACGTTACAAAACAAGCCAGGTGAAAGGACAAGAATTTGAAGCATCCGAGAAACGTATCGCGAGAGGTCAACGCGAATCATTCGGTCGAGGCTTCGAAAGGCTGGGCAGGGAGGACAGAAGACGGTACAGCAAGGTCTACTTCCGCCGCAGGCAAGGTGATTCAAATTCCAACCCAGCCTTGTGAACAACACCGATGATCCTCGTGGTGGTTCGGTATCGAACAACGCCCGTGGTCTCGTTTATCGATCGACAACAGAGAAAATTGCATTAAGCTCGGTGCCTTCCGCTCGAGACATCCTCGAACTCGTCGCGAGACAAGTCCATTTACTTTATCCAGTCGACGTACGCGACCGTCGAAGACCCTGAACGATATCCTCCTTGCTTTTTTCATCATGTTCGTCGAACTCTTTCCTGTTTTTTTTTTCTTTTTCTTTCCTACGTATAAATATATTCGCAAGGTTACGGGCTCGATTAATTCTGGACCGAGGACGCTCGAGAAACGACGTCCTCGTGAAAAAAACGCCCAATGGGTCGATGGTTAATTTATGGATAGCGACGTTGAGAAGGTGGGCACCCATCCTCGTTTCATTTTTCATCTGAAATATTATTTGAATATAAAACAGCTAAGAGGGAAGCTTACTCGAAGTAGCGGCATCTCGGCGATTCGTCGTCCCAGGGTTAATTATTTCAACACGACATCGTGTTTCTTTGCTTCTAGCCCTGGAGGGCTCACGTGGCATCCGTAAGAAGCCGGATGAACCGTACGATAAGGCTACCAATGCTTGTTTCCTATAGTAGTTGTCAGAAGAAGATCGAGGATGATGGAAGATTCGCGTGGGCGCTCTACTAACCGCAGGCCATTCTTCATCGACGGCTAAACGAGTGCCATCAATATTCATAACGTTCGTAAACACGTTCAGAATCGTTTCGTTTCCTGGTCGGTGGGACGTTCGATTAGACGACTTTGTTTTCATCCATGATGATCAGTTTGTTAGAATGGAAAATTTCATCTATTATCTAATTCGTTGTTGCTCGATGTATCGAACTTGTTTTTTCTATGTTCTTGCAGAATTACGGTTTCGCCACGGTTGCAGATTAATCTGGCGGACAGTTGCGAAAAGCGAACGGTCAGCGCAAGTTGGACGATAAGAACGGCGAAAGAGAGGTAGCGCGTGTAAATTCTCCTGTTGATAGAGACACGCGGTCGTTCCACCGGTGCTCAGGTCGCCACGATTACGAAAGCTTCGAGCTGCTGTGCCACGACCTTTGCACGCGACACTATCCTCGCGTAATCGTATCAAAGAACGGCTTTCCGGTCTCTGTGGAATAGGATAAAGTCCTAGAAACTAACGCGTCGAGCCGATTCGTTCTTTCGTATCGTTCCTTGCTATTTCATAATTTACAATTTCATACCTCGTTTCCATCTAATTCGTATATAAACGGAGAACGAGCGATCACCTCGCGATGGAATCCGGAACAAAGGCCAGACCCCACCCGGCGCCGTGGCGATCATAATTTTTTTCCCCCGATCGGATCGGATCGCATTGCGTATCGGTTAGATTTCATAAGCGCTCCACCGACAAAAGAAACGGCTGGCGGGGAGGAAGGATCGATAAGCCGATCGATTATGATCGAGATAGTTGGAAAAACGTAGCTCGGTGTCCGCGCAGCCGGCCGTGTATCGGTAATTGCATCGTGCCTTGTCGACGCTTATCGCGTTCGTTCTCTCCTTGGCATAAGCGCACGTACGAGGGCGTTGCAGGTTTTCTCGAAAGGAACAGTCGTCCAGTCCTAGCTGCAGGACCAATGTTCGCGATAGAAAAAGGATCTATGGCGCCGATCGGTGAGCGTATCGAGAAACCGTCAAGGAAAGAGGCTTGCAATTTTCCATCCTTATTCTGGATCGGAAATTTCTTTCAGACATTACACGATATTCGTGGATTTTTCATTTTCCAAATTGAATCAGCAATCGATATTTTTAACGCTAATTTTTTTTTTAAGAGTATACGTACTCTGTACATCGTAAGGTGAACGAATACCTTGTCGTACAACTTTAAAGTGACCCAGATTTCGATATATAAAGATTAACGTACCTGTGATACAACGTACAAACATAATTGTTATTAACGCCACGTACGATCCGTTTCTCCAAATAATCTCGTACACTCTGATTCTTATCGCGAAATCAATAATCGATGCCCAATACTGACAGTCGCTGACCAATTAAACGACCATGGTGCCTAAAGAAAAGTAGCCGGATCGAGCGAATGATTTACGAGCTGACCGTCCTTTCCCTCCAGGCATTGATGTCTCCTTGAGAAGCGCGATGCCACGCATCCAACTCTTTCGCTTTCAGATTCGATCCTAAAGGTATCGCTATTTCATCCTTTTCTTACATGTCCGACACGTTTCGTATCTAAGGAAGCTATTAGCTTCTCATCTTTTAATGTTGTTTGATAGACAGAACAACGATTCTTAGACTTTCTATTAAGAATGTTGAACGGCTCCTCCTCCGGGAAGAAGAAACAGACGGGTGCCGTTTTTTCTTGAACAGTGAAACTGAGAGGAAGCGAAAAGGAAGAGAAATTAATCAGAGCCGTGGCGCGATTAACGAGCAGGTGTATCTGAACGCATCATCAAAGCATTCGGATGATTTTTAAACAGGGTGCGCCGGATAATGTGGTACAAGCGGACGCGGTGTGATTTCTGGTTAAAAAATAAATTGAAATCGTGGAATAAATTTTGCTGGTACCGACGCGTAATTTTTCACGATAATGACTTTAAAGCTGTGTCAATCGCGTCTGTACGGGCAGTGATTCTCTACCGATGGCAATCAGTGTAATGACACGTCGTATCAACGAAATTTATTCCATAATTTCGATTTATTTTTTAATGAAGGATCGCTCCGTTGAGTTGTTTGTCTCGTTAGCGATTAAACGAACGTGACTCGATCTTTAACCTTTCCGGTGCCAAAAACATTTGTCGGTCGGAATAAAATTCGTCTTCGCGTGTGATAATAATGTATGCGTTACAACAGAGACAGTTGATCTCGTTACGATTGCACAAAAGGCGGCAGAAAAACACGGTGGAGAGGAACTCGAAATGAAAAGTAACGAGGTCAACGACGTCACTGGACTCTCGACGTTCCAAGCTTCGTGACTCGACGTCTCGCGAGACCCGATCGAGACCAGAAGCAAAGGAACCGCGTCGGTGAAAATGCTCGTTAAAAAAAAAAAAAGAGAGAAAAAATCACGGGACAATCAGTGGCGAACGCGAGACAACGATGACTAACCGAGAATCGACGGTGAAACCGTAAGAAGAAAATATTTTTCTTTTCCTCGTCCCGATCAACTTATCGACCTCTTCAGTTCGACACGCACGAAATTATTCCGCTCTTACGAAATCCTCAATCTCTCTTTCTGCTCGGTAACACGTTTAACTACATAAATTATCGATCTATCGGTTGAAAAATGTTTAATGTCCCGATTGAAAATGATTCTAAAGCTGGTGTTTAGGAGTTGCGCCAGGTACAGGGTGTCGTTATGCACACACTACAAGCGACATAATTAATAATACATGATGGAGATAATGAAACGGTGACACACGGACGGTCGGCTAACTCGTTTTAATTCTTCCTGCTATCGATGAACGCGAGCCCGCGAACCGGACACGCTGCGATTCGAACGTTGAGAATTAATTCGATCGCAAATTAGCTCGAACCACGAGAGTCCGGCGGCGCGAGATAATTGACACGTCGTTGGGAAAAAGGAGAAAAAGAAAGGGAGCGAGAGGAGGTCTTCAAGGATGTCCACTCTTCCAGGTGAAGGCGGTGTGGCGCGGCGGCGAGAAGGCGCGTAACGCCCCACAAATCAGTCGCGGTCCGTACGTTTCGGTTTCGGTTCACCGAATTTCACCGGAATCCTTACGTTCTCTTTGATTCTTCCATCAAAAATTACCTTTACTCGACGATTACGATCTATCGTTTATTCTAAACAGAATACAACATCAAAATTGATGCTTACAATATGACCAGAGATAATATAATTTTCTTCTCGACGGAGGCGTACTAGAGATTTCATCACCTTCGTGTATTTAAATACCATGCAATAGACTCTTTTTTATCTTTGGTGCAATGTTAGATAATTAAATGTCACATTCTCTAACGAGTAGGGAACACGATATAATTTCGAGCAAAAACTGAATACATTACTATATTATCAGAAAGCTTCGACAAAATGATTACTTCTGTGATTTTAAGTAGAATATAATGCGGTGGCTAAAAATGGAAGAAAGAATGCAAGGGTAAAAAGCTAGGTATCAAGCTTACGAATACGTAACATTAGTCGTCACACTTTTGCAACGACGTTCAACGGTTGAAATGATAGATTTACAACAAACTGGGGTCTGTTTCATTGAAAATTACCGTGCAACCGGGGAATCCTCGCTTAGCCGAAGACAAGAGCGCGTATTAGCCGGCCATTAAACGCGTGGCTTTCGGTATTATGAAAATTACGGGGTAGAAAGAGCGAGGATCGGCTTCGATTACACATCGGTGCTTTGATCGAAGCCCGGGGATGCACTTTCGATCCCTAACAACCAACCGCGTTGATGTTGTTGCACAAACACGGATTTGCCGCGGTTCGCTGCTTTCTACCGTTCGAACTCGATCGTGGTTTCGCACTTCATTTTCCAAGCTGCAACGGGCTCGATCGATTAATCGAGCCAACGCGAGACCTGTAATCTTCCTGCCGAATAAGCGACCATTGACAAATCGTTATCATTAATTCTCCAGTCTCGATGAACCGACTCTCTTACGTTTGTATCATATTTAAAGTCGGTAGAGGTAAAAATTTACAGTTCGCCCTAACAAGGAAAAATAATGAAATCTAAAGAGGAACAAAGAGATGGATCACGGATCGAGGCTACAGTGAGATCGGAAAGATGGCTGTTACGGCTGTGTAGGATTGCGAATTAGCAACGGCTTGCTGCCGGATAAGCTCCAATCGCTTCACACTTTCCGCGATTAATCCGTCGGGATCGTTCGTGACGCCTACTTAACGGCTGCTACGATCGTTCAAGTAGCGATCTCGACGTTCTTCGGTGACCTCTTCATGTATCGTGAAACAGCGGGGGGTCACCGGTGTCAAGTCGTGGCTTGGCAGCATCCAACTTTGCCAACCGGCAGACTTAACGCTTCCTTAATCTCGTACACGCTTCATGCTCGACCATCCTGTAATCTTCGTTTCAATTACGTCAATAGTCGCAGTCTCTATTTTTCAAGATATTTATTCGACTATATCCGAAAGAAATAAAAGCAATTAGCGAGAAGCAATGACGAGGTAAAAAAGATGGAAAGGAGCTGTCGTTTCAAAACACGATCACGTCGATTCGGTGCCGATCACGTACTCTTCCACGGTGGCAAGAAAACGATCCTATGGATTGCCAGTTCGAAAGTGATTTCTTGTTCGCAGGAAGATTTTTCGAAGACATCGAATCGCGTGGTTGCGAACAGAGTGACGTTGGTCCTCGCCTAAGGAGTAACGACGTTCTTGTAATCGTTCAGCTGTCGTAATTCAGCTGGTAGTTTCGCGAGCACAATGCATCCGGCCGACCGATACCTTATGTAATACGGATTCGAACGTCCCCTCCTAGAGCTACTGCACGCTAGAGAAGAGAAAAAAGAAAACCGTAACGGAAAGAAAGAAAAGGGTGAAATCCAGCGTCCGCTGGGTTCGCCTTCTGCTTCGACCAGTCTCCTTAGCAGCGCTCCTTCTCTTCCTTCACCTGTTTCTCACGCGGCAATGCAATCTCGACGAGATATTAATATATCCGGTGGGATTTTTAAGGACTCGACGAAACGAAGGAAACGCTAACCTTAAATCAGCAACCGCAGGTAAACAGGTCTTTGAACGTAACGCGTGTCTTTTCGCCTTGTTTTCGATACTCCGGTGACGAGGAATTAACCCTTTCCAGATTTCGATCAATATTTTAATTCAAATCTAGCGAGGAAACCGGAATTGACGCGAATCGATTCGACGACCGCTTGCAACAGCTGGCAAACTGTTTTTTTTGCAAAAGATATATTGCAATCGGTCCACGTGGTAACCAACCGCGTCGCTAATCGCGTTACGATTAGTCCTAGGTATCGCAATCGTGCGTTCCTCGCCGCGTTCAGCCGCGATAATGTTACGCTTCCGCTTTTTCTCTCCAACGGATTGGCACGCACCGCGCGAGCTGATTCACGCGTACCTCTACTTATTTACGCCCGCTATGATTCTTTATTTCTTCTAACGGGTTGACGATAAACGTTGTCGCGCGTCTTCTCTTTGCCGGCCCAGTTCTCACGCACTCGCGTACCCACCGTCCACCTCCCAGAACAGGATTCTATCTGAAAAGTGTATCTATGTAACATGCGGAGCTAGCACCAGTCGGCCGACTCGTTCTTCCGCTGCTTCGCCATCGTTTCTTGCCAGCCAACTCTGTAATGCTGTTCGTTCTGCTCGGTCAGTTATGAATTCTTAATTTTCGCGAAGGTCGTGCTCTCACGTTGACTGCTCGCGATTATCGTCGATCCGCTTTGCCAGAGACTTTAACGACGCTTCAGTCGAAAAACGACACGGGTACTTACAATTAGAGGTACAGAAGAATTCTTTTTCTTATCATCATTGGGTAGAAGTAATTTATCTTATAACGGGTGGTCCGGGCGACAACTTATAATTAATTGCAATTCTGACCACGCAACGTTCAACTTTGTTCGTTCGAGGAGAAAGCGCCCACGGGTCGAAGAAGAATGTACAAAGAGAAAGTGAAAAAGTAACAGAGCGTCGAGCATTTCTTCGCAACTGTACGAAAGCGTCCGTTAAATTAATTAGAGTATACATCTATCTATCTGTCCGCAAATCTATTGATCTATATCTCGAATCGTACATTGTACGAGAGATAAAAAAACGCGATTTATCATGGCATCGTGAATAACGTAGTTGTTTCTATAAGAATTTTCTTTCTATCGCACCCCTTTCGGTGGAATGCGAATCGAGGAATCAACAGTGAACACCTTGTTCTCTCGTCCACCGGCTCGTCCATCTTCCCTATCTCTAACTGTACCGGTAAAATAAGTTGCACGCTATCGTTGACCCGCCACGCAAGTCTCCTCCCGGAAATCGAGAGACGAACTCCGGTTCGACGACATCCCCGGTCGATCGGATGTTCCACTAGCTCGAGCTCGGCAACGACTAGGTTTCTGCTCGATCAAAGAGCACCTCCACCCGTGTCCTTTGATGTATTCCTGCCGAGTGCCGAGTGATAGAAGCCGCCTCGTCTTCGTGGCGTGGCTCGATCAACCGTTCCGATTCTCACGTCGAGACCTTCGAACCCGAACCAGGTCTTCCTGGTTCGTCTAAAATCATGCACACGTGAGATGGGATCGCTTTGTTCGGTTCCCATGACGGAACGGGCTTTCCATTTACACCGATTCGCTAAAGTATTCGAACCGTTTCAATTAATCACCGATTATATACGCGAATCTAGGCTGCGCGAAGCGTTGAGAATTTTGCTTTAATTGGTATCGTAGAAATTTTGTAAAACTTTCCTCGGTCGATCGTCCGAGTAGTTGGATAATATTCGATGGAAACAGCGATAGTTATCGATTGCTAATGCACGCGTTGGCATTCGAAATGAAAACGGAAACACGTGTAAGCGCGTGCAAGCCGCATGTTCGTTGCATACTATGCGCAATCATGCATTGTGCACCGTTCACAACGACTCGTCGGGGTGCAACAAACGAACGTCGAGCCGAGTCGGTCGAACGATTTTCCAGACGATCTTTTATCGGTTACCACATCGATGTCTGGATTTATCTGCATCGTTAAAGCGCCGATAGCGGCGGCTCGTGCACGTTCGAGCAACAGGAAAGAATCCTTTCTCGCGAGACACCGCGAGAGGGTGTAGTCGAACGTGCGGAATTCTCTCGGAGGATTTTTTTTTTTTTTTTTTCACCGGCAAATCTCTGTTCTGCGCGCGGAGATCTATCGATCGCGACCAGAGTATCCAGGCGCCACCGTAACCTTTCGCAATTCGTTTCTCGTTACGTTTCCTCGTGAAACCGATTGTGAAAATGCCTAACCTTTCAACGATTGACATCGCGAACAAGGATTAACCCTTTAGGCTTCCGATTCTTAATGTATCTGAAACGAAGAATTTATATACGGTCCATAAACAAAGTGACAGATATATCGTGTCAACTTAATTAATTTCGATGATTAAACACAACGCATAGAGCAGAAACGTTGCGCTCGATTGATAATAAAATCGAACGCGGCAAGGTATCGAGGGTGAACGATCTGTATAAACGCAACACGGATCGCGGCTAGATAAGATCGCCAAGCCTGTAACAAGGCTTTTCAAGTAAAAGCGCGGAAAACGTATCGAGGAATGCGAATCCCGCGGAGATCTATCGCGTTTAACTCGAGTTCTGTTCTGCGGTGAACCGCGACCAGAGGTCACGATGGTTCTGAAATTAATTTATGCGAAATCTATCCATCGGCAACCTTGCGTGTCCGTAACTTGGATTACGTGGGTGTGTTCCTGACACTCCGTTTAACAACATCGACTCTGCGGTACCGTGTTTTCTAAACGAACCAATAACGGCCACGATCATTTCAATCGCGACATTTGAACGGTCTGCAAAGAGAAGACAATCGGTCGTCGATGGTAGGCCAGTTTGAAAAGAAAATCCTTGCTGCCGCACCGGTATAAGATTATTCGCGATGGACTTGTTCGAGGTTTAGACGCTTGCAAATCAACCGGTTATCAGATAAAATTATTCACTAAACGTCGGTCGCTTTCTCGAGCTGGTTCTTGTCTTTCTCTTGGACAATACCAGCGTTAAAAGGAGCAATAAAGTTGCGAGCCAGGGTGCTGCTGATAAAGAGCTTCCACTACCGTTTGGCAAATACATTCCCGTTTCTATAATGATAAAGCAACGTTAAATTCAAATGAAATTGGCCTCTCTCGAGGAACGATGAATTCATCCCTCGAAATTGATCGCGACAGCTCTTCGACGATCATAAAAGCCAGCAAGTATTCGCCGGCGAACGCGGACGTATATTATCCCTGGAATTGAAGGGTCACAAAACTGGTGGATCGGTGATTACCGTGAAACCTGGCGTGTAACAGGTGAACGTGGTCGGTGGACGTCAATCAAAAGACGAAAGCCATTAATTGGCGTGGACGTGCACGAACGTTTTCGGCACGGAAGCGTGAGACACGCGTCTTCTTCTTCTTCCTCTTGGCGTGGCTCGCTGGAAAGGTGGCCCCTGTCGTTCCATATACGAAACTGCATGGAGAGAAAATAAAGAAACGAAAGCTTGCTGACGTACGGAGTTTCGGGAACAATAATTACGATGTTCTTGTCTCGACTGAGCATTTTATTTCTTTAATTACGATACAGTATATGCGTTCCCTTCCCGGTTATACAATATTTAAATCCAACGATCGAAGAAAAATAAAATGTACTGAAAGTTGAAACACGAATTCACCGGACGTCATCTTCTCGGTACAGGACCTGGAGCACCATGCTGGAAGCTCTTGAAGGCAATATTCATATCCATTACCGTTGAATTCCAGCATTCACGCCCACCTGGTCACAGCAGAGGGTCGGCCACGCGTTGTCTGACTTGCGCATCGCGCCCCTGAAATTTATAGGGAAAACGCGACGAGATAGATCTCGCATTCATCACGCGGATGATTTACGTTGCCCGGTATGGAGATATACGCCGCCTGCTGGTACGTGGGTGTCCCTGGACCATTGGACCAAGATGTCTCTCCAGCAAGAATCGTCTAGAGCGTTTTTGCATACGAATCACAGTTTTTACAACAGATGAGCTTGTTTATCCTGGAAAACACGAGGCGCGTATTGAGTTACATCGAAGACATTTCACGGTTCTCTTTTCTTCTCGTAACTTGGTGCACGAGCACGTTTCGACTTTGATTTCAAGCTGAGATTGCCAGCACGTTGATTCTTGAGATTTCCTGACTTTTTTTTCCTCCTGTTAGATTCCGTGCTGTGCGAGCGGTAGAAAAATTGTATACGATAATGACGAGAGAAACCATCATCAATCAACACCTCGTCAATTCGGAATGAAACAATCAATTCTTTAAGCAAACATTTAGTCACGTCGGAGAAAGGAGAAATCACTGCCACGAATGGCACAGAAGGCCTAAATAACCAGGTATTTCAGTATTGACCGTATATAGGATGGTTCGACTTGGACGATCAGAGGATAATTGATGCTTTCTACAGAACCGAACGATTCTTGATGCGCTTACCTGAAAGATTGAATGTTTATACTGACATAAATGTCACTGCTGTGGGAGACTTTCATCGAGGGAGGTGTCTCGTGTAGTAGGTGTTCGATGATAAACGTAGAAACAGAAGTCGATAATTCATCGATACCCGTCGACGATGAAGCAATATCATCGATAATCGTGATAAATTACCGTCGTGATGTAGACACGATCTCTCAGTTGCATTTGTAGGAAAATGAGACGGTGAAGTCAAACAGAGAATAATTCATAATTTTACAAACTTCACCATGTCTGACTGAATCGAATTAACATAAACGAATCGGTGATTAAAGATAATCAGCCGTATTATTTATGCGCGCGGTTTTTCTCGACGAACCTCGTTAATTAACGAAAGATGCATCTGCCTGTTCGCTTGGGTGGTATGCTGACTGCTGACAGACGTATGTGGGTTAATTTTCGAGTCAGCACGATGAAGAGATTAATTAAACGTTGTACCCTGGATAACGACTTTGACTCAAAATCTCAGTGATTCGAGAAGAATTTATAGATGAAATTGTCATTCGATGACTATCGTTTACTTGAACTACTTAAAACAGCCGGCTTTCAAGCAAATTGAAATTAAAATACTATCAAAGACCACACCTTGATCAACTACCATGAGGAATGAAAAAAAATCTTCAGTTAAGTAACGATCGAGCACCGGTATCGTGTAATTTCATCGATATTAATCTATAACACCATCAATTTTGCAGCTCTGGATAATGAGACGGGTTCGAGACGCCACAAGGACCAGCCTCGATTTTTCTGTGGTACAAAATGGAATCGTGGGAAGGACGAGAATCGAAGCTGCACCGAAGCGAACGAAATGAGCCACCGTCAAGGCGATGCACCCGTCTACCGATGCACTTCCTAAAGGAACGCGATGACGTACGGCAGCAAAACATCAGTCATTATCGACGCCGATCGTCCCCGGTTTCCCTTGGCGACGTTATAACGAGTTTGGCAACTGATTTTTTGCAAACACACGGCTCGTTTGACCATCAAAGAGTAAGTCTTTCTTTATTCTTCAAATTGACCCAACTGGGTTACCCGAAAAAGTTGTAGATATTATTTCTTGCAAGATTTATTCATCTCTGTTTACATCAAAGTTTCTTTTATGAATTTTGTTAGGGAACATACAATGACTCGTTGAAATTATCAAATATACTGATCTATAAAAATGAATAGTTCCGCAAACTTCTTGTTGCCATTCTTCGACGAGTTTCACTTGCACTTCGAATCTTCCATGACTAATGGCAACAGGAAACAACTCTGTAGTCTACTAGACTTTTTGTGAATTTCATCTATTTTAGCGATTTTCTCGTTTCTTTTGACACCCGCAGGAAATTACGCAAAATGAATTCCTGGAACTCCTTAAACCCCCTACGATCTGCAAGAATTCATTATTTTTCAGCTACCAGTGTTAGAAATTTAAGCAATTGTGGTGATTTAATAGCTGATTAAGGGTGTATCATTGTTATTTCCGATTTCTGGAGAAGCCTGATTTCGAGGTCGAGTAGTTACACCGACGGCGTTGAAATTACCGTTCCAGACGGAATTACAGTGATAGGGAACAATGTAATAATGCATTATTAAAATAATTGTTTGATTGCCTCGAGTCTAGAGTAGCGTGCCGCGCATAGTTGGTGTATCGCTTTCGCTATGACTGCTCCACGATTTCTCATCGGTCCTGTCCTAATTATTCGTCTAAAGAACCTAAATTAACAAAAAGTAGACATTCTTCAAGTTCGGATGCAACCGCGAGTCGATTGCAGTTTTTATCAGAGTCTCGTTTTGGTAGTAGAGGAAGAACCGCGTCGCCTTGAGGTGATTCGTGGCCTCTGTCTTGTCTTCTGGCGGGCTGAGACCTTCCGATCGCTGGAAAAATCAACGCTTCGATGCCAGTCGAAAAAAGGAGATCGTGTCCGGGTCCTTGAGACGATCGCGTACTCGATCCCTTCATTAACTCGTCAGACTCTTCCGAAATCCGTGGAGACCGGTCGAAAACTGACTCGACCTGAATACCGTCTCCATCTGTTTCGACGAACGTTCTGTATTTACTGTATTTCAAGATAAAATTGATAATTATTTTAACGCTGACGAAAAGTGGTGAAACGCGGGTCGGTTATCGAAGCAGCCCCCCGCCGTGCCGTTCTATCATTTATCTTTGATCGCGAGCGGTCTGCTTTGGTCCGCGTGGCGATTTACGCGTAACGAAGCCTCGGTTTGCGTGCCACTGATACACGAAGGCAACGGTTGGTGGAGGGAACGCGGCGCGGCGGCCGCCACGATCGTTACATGCACCATTATGTTGCGGCATGGCACGGTGCCCCGTGCTATCGGTAACGGCAGTGCACGCCGCCAGATATTGCTTATTAACTTTGTTTGTCAGAGGGGAGAGAGAGTGGCATGGCGTGGCGTGGTTCAGCTCCGTTCTCGTGTGTCCTCGTAGGTCTAACGGTCGTGGCTTGCTCCTTGCACCGACGACGACGACGGCGACGTCGAAGACGACGACGACTTAGGACCGGTTGTACAGAACGGCACATCGTGCTGTTCACGGATAATCGGCTAAAACCGATCGCCAACCTGTACAGTTAAATGCGTTCCTACCGAACCATTGTCAACGTGGCCACTTTTAAGACAATGCCATGGAACGTATCGGAGATCGACGTGGACAATCGGTCGGACGAGCACGCTGCGTACCGTTAACCGATTCTTATTGTTAGTTAGACCAAACGAATACGATTTAATTGAAACCAGACGAGACGACGGTCATAGGTTTGATCTCGCGATAGAACTTCCTGGCTGCATTTCAAATTCAGATTGATACTACGTTTGACCGATACCACTTGATTTTTACCGAGCTCCATTACTACACGCGCGAAACAGTTTGACGGAGAGACTCATCAAACAACAAACCGACTAACGAGAAGCGACATAGGTGTCGAGGTATCGGCGTTTCTTTTCTGTTGGTCGAAGGAAGATTTAATGATTGTTAAACGAGCGTCGTTGAATGCAGGATACGTTAACTTGTCAAGAGTAATGCGGGGTAATTGCTATTTATGATGGGATCACAGTGTTGCGTAAAGGCCTGTTAAACGCGCCGGTATAGCATAATTACTTCTCACGATTCCATTGTAATAGTGACAGTTACGTTGCTCTCACACCTGCCCGGGAAACATTGCATCCTCTACCAAACTGTCCCACTCGTAGAACCGAGTCAGCCACGCCAACTTGTATCGTTCTTTTTTTAGAAATTTGGGTTACAGAAATTCAACGCAGAAAATTGAAGGGTTGAAGCCAGATATATTAAAAAATATATATATAAATAAAGGAAGAAATTTGAGTGCCACTGTGACAGGGAGGGTCGCAACGAGGTCCGCAAAGTGAGCGAGGTCCGCAAGAGTGATTGTATTTATCCGAGCGCATAGCGAGTCGCACACGGACACGGACACGCACGTACACAGCCGTGGGCCAGCTAAGGCCCGATAGTTAAGGAACGATGCGGATGGCAGGAGTGAAAGGCCCACGCCCGTGCCTCGGGCTCCTCGGCAAGGGCGACTGGCCCCTCAGCACGCGCGCGTACTCGCGCACAGAGACAGTCAACCTACTCACGTACACGTGCTGGCACACGTGTAACAGACCATCCACTATCCACAGCTCTTTCTCTCTTACCCTTCCATCCTTCCATCCATCCTTCTCTTTTTCTCTCTCAGTTGGTGCACCTCGAACCTCCGTTCTCCATTCTCGCTGAATCCGACGCTCTCTCGTTACCAGACTACGAGAGTGCACCTCTATGCACCTCCGTTCCCGATCAACTTTTATTTTTGGGCTCGATTTTCCTTGCCCCAGGGCTACTCTTTACGACCTCCTCGACCATCTCCTCGAAAAATTCACGAAGACGAATTAACCTCGAATCGGAGAACGAGATTACGCCTCTTCTTCTTCTTTTTTTCTTTTGCACGCGTCGATTTCTCTTGCTCGAGGAGATGATATCCTCGTAACAGTCTCGTAATCGATGGCTTTTTTTGCTGATTGAATCTGCATGATGAATTGAATTTATTTTCAATCATCTACATACGAGCCGTCTCCGTTTCGAAGACGTTAACAAGTTAATTGTTAAGTATAACTCAACGTGGTTGAAATTCAATTAAATTCGTATCATCTATCCGTCTCTCCCATCAGCCGATCTCTAACTAAATTATATTTGCGAAATTTTGCTATTCCCATCCGCGAGCTTTATGATCGGCGTTTTACGTAATCCGCTTCGTGACGCGTGTATCTACCGACGCTAGTGACGTAATTGTACCCTTTGCCTGGCCGCGGGAGTTTGGCTCATCCCGGCGCGGCGTCTCGACGACGACGACGACGGGGAACGGAAGAATACATAGATGTGTGTGTGTGTGTGTACGTGTGGAGAGAATCGGTAAACGTAAGGCGTAAAGCGAGCAAAGCGTGGGCTCCCAGCAGATGCGCCTCGGTGTTTCGCAATGCGGGAGCAGAAGACGCCCGATGTTCACGTAGCCTGATCGTACTGAAAGGCGAAGAGGACACGTTCCCAAGGCGTATTCCGTACCGATCCTATAATACAGTCGTCCGTCCTGGTTCGAGCCCGTTACCAGGCTCGCGCAAAAATTCAAACCAACCGCAAGCTTGTTTCAGCCTGGAGAACGTACGGCTGGCCAATGTCCGGTGATGCTCGTTCGTTATCACGTGATCGAAATCATTGAATAGCCCGGTCATTTTTCTCTGTCCAATTCGGACAATAGCGTGGATCGTTCATCAGGATCGCGACGATGCAATCGTCGCGCTAATGACCCGCTTCGATGGATCTTTGAACGTGCCGACCGAATTTCGCGACATTCAATCGGTTTCGACACTGCTGCGTTTCTTACGAGAATACAAACTCGAAAAACTTGTATACAAACCACGACGCAACCAAATTCTAAACCCCGAAAAAAAAAGAAAATTAAAGTCAGTAAATTTTGATCAATCGCGAGCACCTAGGCACAGAATTTAAGGGGTTAGTCTCAATAATATCTTCTAATGTCTTCTTAACCCGTTTTATCGAGACACCGTGTGATCCAAAACAAGTGTGCGTGTTCTCACACGTGCTAGAAAGATCGATCGTGGTCGATCCGAACGAAACGAAACAAAACGAATCGATCGGGGTCTCCTTGATCGCCAGAGGCGTCTAGACCGGAGGTAGCAGTACCGATCACGGATGAGAGTGGGTGGAGTCGCGCAGTATCGTTGCTCAACGAGAGAGAGACGATGTCCTCGAGAGTTATCGCGATAAGAAAGGCCATCCTAAGGACACGCCTGGCTTCAAGAGAAGGAGCTTCGATAACGATCGACATCGTCTCTCTTGGTTCGTATCGGCAGCGTTTGCTTGATTTCCAAACGTTGCCACCGAAACCGTTCACATTTGCCCGATGACATTTCTTCGACTGTGAAACAGACCTCTTCTCTTGTAAACATCGCAGACTTTCTCGACTCTTCTTTTCATTTTTCTCTTCTGTTTTTCTAATGAAAGGTAGATCGGTACTCATCCTCTCGATCTCAATCGGACAAAGATTTGCAGCCATGTCGAACTCGATTCCGTTACCCTTCCGTTTAAGAAGTAATCGATGATGGTCATTCGTCTTCGAATCCTCGCGAAATCATTCATCTGTGACCGTCAACGAGGTCGTTCGTGCGTCAAAGACGAAGCTGCAATAACGATCTCGCTGATAAACGTGTCGGATGCAAAACACCAGCGCGTCATCGATCGAACGATACGGAACGGTTTAAATGCCACAAGAAAAAAAAAGTAATAATGAAAAACCTGTTTGCTTCACTTATCCAGGGATTCGCAATAAAGATTCATGGATCATTTTCGCGTAAATCGATGGGAGGTTGGTAACGATTTTTAAGCAGATTTGGCCGTTCTTCGTAAAGAATCTTGTGAAGGAGAACGAGGCGAGAAGCGGGTATGAAAACGAAACGTCTTCCGGTTATCGAGCGCGTTAAGCGGTCGTTAGTTTTCAAGAGGTCGTAATCGCGAACAGTACAAGCGATTCAACGTCTACCTGGTTATCTTTCAACGAGATGGGCAGAGGGGCGCATCATCGTGGAATTCGAACCGGAGGAAGATGGGAGCAAACGATCGATCTGACAGACGTGATTCAGACGAATTCCGATCCGTGGTTCGATACCGTACCATCTGCACCATCGACTCCTCCTCGTCTTTACGCGGAAGTAACGGAACCCATCTGTCCACGGAATCTTAAGTGATTCTTCGTGGATCATTGATCCCTAGAATGTAGATCAATGGCGACCAACAGTGGCAGCACGTTCGGAAACATTAGAATACCGATTACGTTGATACCATTCCAGACGCGAGCGGAATTCGAAACTGCACCTGGAACATTTCACTCTGTTCCGTGTTCATTTCGTTATCTTTCAAGATATTTCTCAGACAGGAAGCGACTGTTTTTCAATTTTTACTCTCGAGACAGGCCGATTCGCTTTCGTTCGACGATTGAGTAATCAATCATGCTAATCGAGATTCTTTTCCATTCGCCCAGACGTTTCTTGTTCCTGATTCT